GAACAACCTCATTCATAATATTGCATAGAAGCTTTTGGCAAAAAATGTTTTAACATTTTATAATCCTGCTACTTTCAAGTGCAAATATGTACTCCCATAACTTCTACCAGGATCTTACTTTACCCTCTTCAAATGCAGACTGTCTAAATAGGTGTTAACTGCATCATTTTTTTAAATAATCAAAGTTATTTATAGCACATGTCCAGAAAATAGGGAGTGCGTTTTAACCCTGACCACATGTTGAAAAGTTTTACAAATTTTAATTAAACTTTTTAGTTCGTAAGTAAACAAAAATAATTAAACTACGACTTTAACTAAACTTTATTTTCTAGTTAAACAAGGGCCTTAACTAATTTTTTTTAGTTAAACTAAAAGTTTCTAACTTTTTAGTTAACTTTTGCCCATCACTACCAGGTTCACATTTAACTTCACATTCACTTTCACCTATTCTTTGGTCTGCTGGACCGCTGGGGCACCACAAATATGTGAACCTTCTTTCTCCATTCTTCTCTGTCATTTGTCTTAGATAGAATTTCATTCTGATGTTCTTTCTGAAAATATTGAAACCTGCCTTTTTACCTGCCTGGGTGGACTACTTCGGGGGCCGATTTTGAGTTTGTGTTTCCACACAAACAGTCTTTGTAACCTTGTTATTTCATTTTAGTTTTGACATGCAATGAGCACATTTATTACACAAAGTATTTTAAATTTTTCATATTTGCTTTTATTTTCCCTTAGCAACGTCACAATGTTTGTATTGGTGTATTTTTTGTTTCTTTGTAGTTTACCATGAACTAATTGTTTTTTTGGTTGTTTTTTTTTTTTTTCTGTTTTCGATATCACATATAGCATCAACTTAACAGTTACCATGTAGTAAAAAGAAACGTGTTAGTATTTACACTTAGACCAAAGTGTCAACATTGGTAGTTGACCTTTTACCTTACCTTACCTTTTACCTATCCTTTAGTCTGTTGGACCGTTGGGGCACCAGGCAAGACTTGTCGACCGTCTTTCTTCATTCCTCCCAGTCATTTGCCTAGTTTAGTAAATTTCAATAGCAGGCCTGTCCATCCTTTTATGTTGTCCTCCCATCGATTTCTCTGTCTGCCTCTTCTTTTTTTCCTGGTACTGTCCCCTGAAGGAAGGTCTTTACGATGCCCCGAAGATCTTGTAATATGGCCATAGATTTTAAGCTTGCGTTGTTTTTTATTAGTATAGTTAGCTAACTAGCTGACCTGCTAACTACAGTAGACCCCTGGAATGCTTGAAAAGTCTCCATTGCTCTGCACGTCTAAACATGGTACAGAAGGCAACCTTATGAGAGTCAGTGACAAGAAAGACAAAAGCAAACAATGGAGGTTAGGATTTTCAACTATTTTTTAATTGGATCAACACACAGTTACTTCTAAAGGCTGTGTTTGTGTATAGGTGCGTGTGTTTTAGAAAGGGTTTAATGAGAGGTCAAGGAGAAGGGAGAATCTACGAAAGAACTTATGGAAATGTTATTTAAACAAAAGACAAGCACTTTCTTTCATTTACTCAGCAACACTATCAACATTTAAATGATTCTATTCCTGGTGTTTTCATTGTACTAGCCAAACACGAGTCTATCAATAAAATAAATCTATTAATTAATGAAGTGGTGGTAATTAATAGTTAGATTTTGCTTAATATAGAAAATGAGAAATAAAACTCTTTCTTTGCAGTGGTGCTCTCTTTGTGTTCATCTTTTTTGCAGTGGTGCTCTATCTCTTTATTTTTGTCTCTCTTTCCTTTCCATCATCCCTGTCTCTGTAATCTCTAATCTCTGTCCAGTAATTGCTGATTGTGTTCCCGACGGACCGTCATAAAGAATGCCAGACCTACATTCCGTTTCTTTAAGCTTGAGAGAGAGAGAGAGAGAGAGAGAGAGAGAGAGAGAGAGAGAGAGAGAGAGAGGTTGATTTCCATTATTTCACTTGACCGTCGCTTGTTTATTACAAGACAGGAAGCCGTTCAATGTTACACACATTCTACAAAAATATATTTTTTAAAATGCTGTTATGCCACACAATAATAGGGTAATTAAAGTCCAAGTGTAGATTTGGTAAAGACCAGCATCTGACGCTGCACATATACAACGTTTTCACAGTCCTCCCCCATGATGTCACCAAACGGCGACAGACATACGATTGAAACTAGGGGACAGTAATGCCACTAAGCTAAGGCATTCATCTAACGACCCTCAAATACTAGCACCGGACATCATCAATGCACGGAAGCCCAGTGTTAGTTTTACACAGATTATATCAGATCAATTTGTCAGTCTGTCCGTCTGTGTGTCGGGTAAAAGGTTTGTACACATTATTTCTGGCACACCCAGATTCCCTCTTGGCATGACTGTTCAAGAACATTAACTTACATGGACTTGTCCAGAAGCACACGTTTCGACATGCCATAGATAAGATAAATTCTGTGTAAGTTCAAGGAAGATGGCTCCTAAGCTGGTCTTTAAACGTTTTTTGGAGTCACCTTTGTTACGCCTATCAACTTTCAGCTTGCTCAAGTAATAACCCTTTTTTTTAAGTGTCTAAAAAATGTAAATCTGTACTACGAAAACCAAATTTTTTTGTCTAAATAAATATATACAGTTTGCTTAAAAAGAAGAGAAAGGCATTACTTATTACTTCAAACTGTTCATCGAGCTTTCTTTGTATTTTTATTACTACTATATCTTGAATGACGATTTTGACAGCTTGTAGTGTCTAACATTATGATCAAACCAGGATTTTTTCTTTTTAAAGTTTAACATCTAAACGGCTTATACAACAGACATGACGGCATTCTTGATTTCAACAGCGAATAAAAATTATTTAAATATGCCTAGATTTTAGAGGATCGATGGAAATATTTACTAAAAAGAAACAAGAAAATGAGTCGGTGGTGTATGTAGCGACAATGTTCATTTTTTAAGTGAAGAAATGAAGCCATTTTCTGACTCGTATAAAAAAAAAAGATGAACACAAAATATCCCATTAGTTAGTGTAAGTACAAGATCCACAGGCTTCTAATCAAATAGTTTCATGTCAATTTCATTTCGTTTTTTGTAACTTTTCGTTCATATGGCCTGCGACACGAGTGTCGGAAATAAAAATGGCCCTCAGGTCGAATTAGGTCGGACTTCACTGATCTAGATCAAAATTGCAATGCTATAAAAAAAAATAAAAAACTAAAACTAAAATACTTTTTAAAAATTTAATGATGCATGAAGTCTATTGATAGATTTTCTAGGCGTTTTTTTTTTTTTACATAAATCTTTTTAAATTGCACCAACATTATTCCAAATTTATATTTAGATCTAGATCTAGTAGATATAGAAGAGTGCTAAATTAGAAGTTTAGTTTAGATAGAAATTCATCTTCATTTTAGTTCCATTTAATTGAAAATGCCAATATCTCTGCACGTCACTGTGTGGGGCTGGGACATCGAGCAGACGTTGCCGAAGTAGGCTTACAAGCTCGAAACCTGTTGTTGTTTTTTTCAATTACAAATTTATGCTAATAGATTATCTGAAATCGCTCGTCTGACATATTGTACATATCCGGTAGTTATCATTCCGAAATGTGTAATATATCTCTTTATCAATAATAGGCTTTTAGTTTGTTATTAAGATAACAGCAACGCGTGGTCTCGACGGTTCGGGCTCATATCCTGCTCACTGCCATCCCCGTCGTCCAGCGGGAGGTTTGGATAAGGATGTAAATTATCTTTAACTTTGAAGGAACATCCGAAACTTGTAAAACATTTTACAGAGAAAAAAAAAATTTTTTACAACGCCAAATGAATCTTTGAAATATTATTACTTTTGACAATCAAAACAAAATCATGTCTTGAATATTCCTTGCGAATAGGCGGATCTGACAGGGATCCGACTCCGACGGGTGCCGCCTCTGAGTTTGATTGATAACACAAACTCTCTAATTTTTTGATAGATTAATGTTTTGTAAAGGGCAATGCATAATTGATCAAAGTTTCCAAGAACGGGAAGTGGGCGAAATAACGTTGACAAACTTTGTCTCAACCAGGCAAGTAGACAGAGACTCAACCAGGCAGGTAGACAGAGACTCAACCAGGCAGGTAGACAGAGACTCAACCAGGCAGGTTGACAGAGACTCAACCAGGCAGGTTGACAGAGACTCAACCAGGCAGGTTGACAGAGACTCAACCAGGCAGGTAGACAGAGACTCAACCAGGCAGGTTGACAGAGACTCAACCAGGCAGGTTGACAGAGACTCAACCAGGCAGGTTGACAGAGACTAAACCAGGCAGGTTGACAGACTCAACCAGGCAGGTTGACAGAGACTCAACCAGGCAGGTTGACAGAGACTCAACCAGGCAGGTTGACAGAGACTCAACCAGGCAGGTTGACAGAGACTCAACCAGGCAGGTAGACAGAGACTCAACCAGGCAGGTTGACAGAGACTCAACCAGGCAGGTTGACAGAGACTCAACCAGGCAGGTAGACAGAGACTCAACCAGGCAGGTAGACAGAGATTCAACCAGGCAGGTAGACAGAGACTCAACCAGGCAGGTAGACAGAGACTCAACCAGGCAGGTAGACAGAGACTCAACCAGGCAGGTAGACAGAGACTCAACCAGGCAGGTAGACAGAGACTCAACCAGGCAGGTAGACAGAGATTTGTTGTTTTTTTTACCGTTCTAATATTTGTTTTGCTTGATGAATTATTGGAGGATTGTAGGGTAATATTGAATTTTCCATTGCGTTTATGATTTGAATTTCAATACTACGCCAGATCTCACAAAACGATTGGTTTACGTTGAAAGACAAGGAGCAGATAATAAAAAAAAACTTCACCAGATCCTTCATCCGGGATTTATGTCCTGTGAATGGTGATTGATCGCCAGGTACTGGATATTGTAACACAAACAATAATTTATCTTGTAGTTAAGACAGATTTACTCTCGTCACACTCTAATGAACATTGTTTCACGCACTGAGATTCTCTAAGAACAGGAAACATGCTACATGTTAGTGACAAACCAAGATTTTATTTACAGAAACACTTTAAATATTCATGGCAAGGGATAGGATATAGAAATACTACATGAATGTATGTTTTAAAACAAATACACTGATTATATGAACGTAATAACAATTAAACGATGGTATTGTATTGTATTTTGCTGAAAAGAAATTGAATATTTGGTTTTACACCAGTGTTTCTAAAACTTTTTTGTCCAAGGAAAACTTTGCACATCCTGAGTATTTAGTGGAACAACCTGCTAAATTTTTAGAGAGGCTTATCACGTGGCGGCCTAATTGTTTCCGTAGTTCGCGGAACACCTATTCAGGCCTTGGGAAACACTCTTTTACACTAGAGATACTTAAAGGTTATTACATACGTCTTTGAACTTTTAAAAAAATTAATTGTGTCACTTTTAGACATTTCATCTGCAGGGGAATAAGTATAAATAACTGGCTATTTGGTGTTTCTTGTGTAACCAATATAGGAATATGTTGACAAAACATGCATTTTAAAAAAGGTACCAATTTCAGACCTTGCGTTCTATGGGGGGGGGGGGGGGGGGGGGGCAGATGATGTAGAGCTCTTCTGTTTCGAACGAAAGTGTCGTGTGACCAGCACAACGATTTTACCTTCCCAACGTAAGTCAGTCATCCATTAGATTTATGATCATTTTTGTGCAGTTTTCAGCACCGTAGAATCGGGTTTTTAGGCTAGCACAAACTAGTTCAGCTGACAAAAGTGCTTTTTTAATTTAGAATCTTTTACATTGTTTAGAACTGAATCATAATCGTGAAAATCACCAATCTGAACATGAAGAATATATAGATGAATCATCTATGTATACGTATAGACACATTTTGATAATTACAGAGTTATTTTATAGAATACGAATACCAGTTGGCACCAAAAGTTTCGGAATACACAGACAGTAGGCATACAAATGTAAATGTATTAAATAAAAATGTAGACTAAAATGATGAAGCCATTTTTTAAGTTTTAGAAATACGAATGTTCCTTCAAAAGGGAAAATTCAACGTCTTTGAGAAGTTCTTTCCTCTTCGGGAACATAGATCACATGACCAGACATAGATCACATGACCAGACATAGATCACATGACCAGTCATCCATCCAATCAAAGTGCACATTACAGAAACCATCTGTGATGCTTCCCACTTTTTCTGTTATCGACTACCTTCACTTTCAATCAGAAAGCAGATTGTATTGAGAAACTCCTCCTTATCAATCAGCTGCTTTAGGTTTTGAAGTTATAGAAGTGTGTGCAGCTCAACTCTGAGCAATGTCTTAAAGTCGGAATAAACATGAATAACTTCCTTTGTAATTAAGCTGTCGAGATAGTTTCCAGATATAAAGTATGTTGACATAAGCTTTGAGCTGATCAGACACTATAAAGTGACCTATGTGTTATATGGTATATTTAATCTATATATATTTCTATTTCAATTTTTTTTTTACATTTTAATGTAATCTCTTAGCAGGCTTTACATAAATTTTTCAGTCAATTCTGAATTAAAATCTTGAGATATGCCCAGCAAAGATTTAGATCTATATTTACTCGGCAATCAAGGTTAACGTATATGTGTTCTTTCAAACCGACTTTAGTTATTATATTTATTCTTTTTCTATTCTAAAAAAGGGGGTTAATTCAACAAAAAGTAGTTCTGTCATTAGACAAATACTAGTTACGCCCCTTATCAGCCTGCACTGTCTAAAGCATGTCTGCCAGTTCATGCAAAGAAAACTTGAAGACCCAGCTTTCGAATCTATCAAGGAAGATAAATCTTATTGATGAATGGTTTAAATGGGTCTTTGATTCGATCCCTTGCATGGAGTCTACAAGAGTTTCTGTTCAGTTGAAGAAATTCATCTGCAAGAGCTCTTTCTCCTACCATGCAAGGCAAGCATGAGCTAATATCTACATCTGATTCAGAGATCTTAATATTGATAAAACACTGCACCCAGAGAACCGCAGCTTGGAATGCATGTCGCGAAGCTAGACCATGTCAGTGTCTTTGAGATTCAAACTCCGCCCAAGCAGTTTCATTCACTTCACAGAAAGCATCGCTTTAACCCTGTGCCATAGTTTGTTATTTCTCTTCGGTCTTGTGGCTGCCATGAGCGCTTGGTAGAATATATTGTCCAATCCATCCCCGGTCAGGGCCGAGCATTCAGCGTAGACCTTGGCCCTGATCTTGCGGGCTAGTCGTTTGCCTTCTTTTTCAGAAATGAAAAGGCCCTGCTGGTTGCGGGCTTCGTGGTCCTCGTTGTCCCTGAGATCTTTCTGGGTGCCCACAAGGATGATGGGGCACTTGGGCTGGTACTCTCTGAGTTCCGGCACCCATCGTGACTTGACGTTGATGAAAGAGTCTGGTTCTGCCACAGAAAAACACAAGATGAAAACATTGGTCTCAGCGTAGGTCAAAGTTCGTAGTCTGTCGTAAGTTTCCTGTAAAGAAAATAACACAAAAGTTTTAACTGATAAAACAACCTGCGGTATTAAATTTGTAGTTGCATTATTCTTGTTAGAAAAAAAAAGTATTTAAAGAGATGACTTGTATGTGCATCATTTTGGATTGTCTTCCTTTGGTATTACGCTTAGGATGCCGATGCCGTACGAAAAGTAGAATCTGAATTATATATATATATATAGATATAGATATAGATAGATAGATAGGTAGATAGATAGGTAGACAGGTAGGTAGGTAGGTAGGTAGATAGATAGATAAATAGATAGATAGACAGGTAGATAGATAGGTAGGTAGGTAAATAGGTAGATAGATAGATAGATAGATAGATAGATAGATAGATAGATAGATAGATAGATAGATAGACAGGTAGGTAGATAGATATATAGATAGATAGATAGATAGACAGGTAGGTAGGTAGGTAGATAGATAGATAGATAGATAGATAGATAGATAGATAGATAGATAGATAGATAGATAGATAGATAGATAAATAGATAGATAGACAGGTAGGTAGGTAGGTAGATAGATATATAGATAGATAGATAGATAGATAGATAGATAGATAGATAGATTCTTAACTTTTTACTACTTCATTTAACTTTTATTTCGCCATTTTAAAAAATCTCATAATCTTATTATGTTTTAAAACTTCTCAATCCTTTAAAACAGTGTTTCTCATACTGTGTGCCGCGGCACACTAGTGTGCCGCCGAAGATTTACAGGTGTGCCGCGGGGATTTCTACAAATATTTAAAACTTATGCAGGTTATCAGAACGTCACACGTGTAGCGTTACACAGGTATGTCTACTATTAAATTTGTATTTTACGTTGCGATGACATCCCCACTTGCAACGACCAGTAAGTCGGATGGCTTCATTTTGACGGAAAGGGCTGTTAGCTTTTAAGGTTATGTAATTTTACACTATACATATTACAATGACTAAAATGTAGGCCACCTTAGCAGACGCACAGAAGTTTTTGATTTGGTAACGATGATAATAAGCGATGTAAAAAAAAAAAGGGAAAGTTCCCCTTTTCAAACCTAGTAGTCTATAGGGCAGATGATGTAAAGGTCATTTGATTCTGTAGCCTACGGTTAACGAGGGTGTCATGTGGCCAGCACAACGACCAACCGCCTTTACTTTTTTCCAACTAATGTCAGGTACCCACAGTGGAATAGCTAGAGTATATGAAGCCTGATGCGGTACCTCATCTTGATGCCCCCTCCCCCCAAAAAACAACAACAACAACTAATTAATAACATTGCAAAACCTTACTTTTTTTTTCAAAATAATATATATTCATTAATCAAATATTGTTAATTCTTTCATGACCTTAATGACCTTTCATAACAGCAGCATTATCATAGCCTTGACCCCTGCAGTCCATTATGTCTAAGCCATCCGAACGCAATTTCTCTAGAATCATCTCAGCGATTACAGCAGCATGCGTGTCCTTTGTGTCGATGAAGTCAACAAAAGACTCACGAACCTGCACCCCGTCATTCTCCATGACAACGTACCGTAAAATTTGGAAAATTTGATCCAGCTTTGAGATGTCAGGTGTACTGTCAAAAATAATAGAGAAATATTTGGGTTGTTTTACTTGCTGTATGATTTGTTTTTTTAGCGTGATCCCCCAATTTTGTAGTAAATTCATTTTGTATTTGTGGAGACATGTATGTATTCGGTCTGGAACAAGGCTTAGTTCGAAGCACATGCTCCCTCAAGAGTGGATCGTACTTTGATAGTAATTTTACTAACTCTCCAGGTTTTCGTCTCTTGTATAATCAAATCTTGGGCCTTACTGTCAATATTGTTCCCTACTCTCAGGCAAACTTTAAGTTCCCTCCAAGCAAGAGATGACTGAATGTGAGCTCTGCTGGTCTCATGTTTTTCTATTCTCGGGGATAACTTCCACCACTCATTGAATCCATCTTTGGATTTAAATGAAGATTTGTACTTGATCTTGTTGGGGAAGGGGAGGGGAAGGGGGAAGCAAAATAAGGATTCTTTTTTTTTAGCGAGTCCACTTTCTAAGAACTTTCTCGCCGTTTGACATTAGCTGGAAAAACCAAGCCTTTGAAAACTTTCTAGCCTTTCCTTTTGCTGATTCTTGATGTCTATACGTCTCTCTGAATTGAATGTCCATACGCTGAACTGTTTCAGATCCTTGAGTGAGAAGGTGTATGCGAATATTTTCTGTGATGACATCAGGCTAATCTCCAATGTCGTTCAGTCTAGAGTTTATTATCCTGCCTTCTGTATTGTTTACACTGTCTGATGGTTCAGCTTCTTCAGTATGAATTTTTGAGGACATGCTTGTGTGCTGTCCTTTAGTCTCTAGAACCTGCGGTATTCTTTTCACGATGTCGGCCTCATCATTTTTTTCTGGACTCAATAATAACCGTCTCATCTTGCTTTGTTGCTTTTAATTGTTCAGTTAATTCATACCCATTAACAGCTCGTCTTTAGTCAGTGGACACTGGCAATGATGTGACTTGAAACTGTCTCGATGCTTCTTTAGACTTAAGAAATTTAAGAAACGCACCTCACTGCGGTCAAATAAACTGCTTTATGCGGATGGCATTGTCCTCTGGTCCACTGGCAAGAAAGCCGACCAAATACAGGCGGCATTACAAGCAGGCCTCCAAACCATCTCCTCGTATTGCGACAAATGACAGATTCAGATAAACGTTGCCAAAACGACCTGGTCCCTGTTCAGCCTAGGGATCGACATTCTTAAGACTCTATTCGAGCTTCAAATCGGTGGGCTGCGACTCCAACGTTAAAACACTCCAAATATCTAGGGGTTACCCTGTATATAAAGTTGTCAATGCTCCAGCACGTCCAGAAAGTTGAAAGAAAAGCCTCGGATAAGTTAGCGTTACTAAGAAAGCTGGCCAGCACAAAGAAGGGTGTCAAAGCTTACATACTACGCACATTGTACTTAGGGGTAGTCAGATCACAAATTGAGTACAGCTCAAGTATATGCTAGTAAAACTGCCCTCGAATCACTCGACCGAGTACAATCACAGGCACTAAGGTTCATCTGTGGCACCTTTCGGACAAGCCCAACAAACGCTGCTGAAATCTTAACAAACGTGGCCCCTTTACATTTAAGGATGGAGAGGGCGGTACTTACAGCCTATGAGCTCTATAAAAGTGGCGACTCTAGGCTACCCACCTCAATATTAGTGCGACTGTGGAGAGAGAGGAACCGCAAAAAATGCGATCGTTCCTCCACATTGCGGCCAATTTGTCAAAATCAGCTGGGCTCTCCACTGAGAGAATCCCAATTAGAATAATTAGTACTTGCCCTCAGTGGAGGAGAAGTCGGCCCCACAAATAAGCATGTCCCTTTTAGGGGAAGAGGGAGCCACCAAGAGGCGATTAACACCTGCCATACTCCAAAACTTGGCATCAGCTACACTGAAGTCCTACCCATCAGATGCCATTTTCTGTTATACCTATGGGTCGGTAATAAGGGACCTCGATAGATCTGGATATGGGGCCCTTATAGTCTACCCAGACCGGACAGAACCAGAGGTGCCGATTTCTCTGTCTGAGCTTAAAAGGGTTTTGAGGCGCCAGCCAGACTGGTCAGTCTTGAGCACTGTTCATCCTTTTGTTTACGTTA